ATCAAAAGGGGGGCCCAGTTCGAAAGTTCATAGCGAATGAAACAATAATACGATTTACATGTAAAAGCCCGCGGTCTTTATAAACTGTTACAAATTGACTCGGCAAATTTATAACTGTCTGGTTTAACTGTCTGGTTTAAAAGTTCATGGAAGCTAAATGGCCTCACGTGCAACAAATGTAAGCATCATACGACTTTAAAGGTCATTCGCTTAAGAGACAAACCTTTAGATCTCTCTCTGCTTTTTGGACTAGACACAAGGGCATCCTTGAATTTTACACATGGACATGCGTGACTTTAACCAAGGTCGTGCGTGTTTCTTAAAACTCTGAGTATAAAAAGGCAGAAACCCTTGTATATTTTAATTGGAAGTCCAAAAGCAAGACAGATCGTCTGTTTGTATTTTACAGGTAAGAATTTTCTGTTTTTTTACTCACCCTTAAAGGATAAAGCTTTCTGTGGTAACCAGTCATCGTAATTTCGTTTTGAGTTCTCTTTTTTATTTACTATTATAATGTAAATGTATATGGTATTACTTTAAGATTTGATGTTTATTTGTATTTATATGAATTTACTACTAGCTTCATGCTAAACTTTACTTACGAATAAAAATATTCTTTAGTTAATAAACTCTAATATTCAATGATCTTTTCCAGATCGTTATTCTAAATTAAATGAAAGAAAATACATTTCATTATGGCATCAATAGCTCTCTGAATACAAGTAATATCTAATCACTTGTATGGTATTCAAAAAGGCAGAAAACTTTACAAGCACATGAAGTTGGAGTTCATAGGAAAATTATTTAATATGTATTGTAATATGTATTTTATGTATTTTTCAATATAAAGGTTTTTATATGTTGTATCTTTAGAATGTAGTTTATATATATCAATAAAAGAATTGGAAGTCCAAAAGCAAGACAGATCGTCTGTTTGTATTTTACAGCGATCCCACCTCTTCGCAGCCAAGCTTGCCCACAAAAGATGTAATCTACACCATCATATGTGACACCTTATTCTTAAGAATGCCGAACTTTCTTCCTTCTCGGAACTAGGCACGAGAAGAAGGTTATGATGGAAAACGTCTCAACAACAACACGAGACAATTCTCTTCATAATAGATGTATAAGCATTCTACATGACGAATGGTGATAACTTTATATGCCTTCAGCATGAAGATTGAAGATAATGTAAGGTCATTGTCTAGCTCACCTTATAGTGATGGTAATGTCAGGTACTGTAGGGCATTCTATCTGATGACAGAGTGAATGCAAAATTCATGGTATAGGCATTCTACCTGATGAATGAAAGGAATGTAATGCCAGGGCATAGACCTTCTACCTTATCAGCGAAGGGAATATAATGCCATTGTATAGGTATTCTACCTGATGAGTAAATGGAACGTAATGCCATGGGATATACCTTCTACCTGATGAGTGAAGGGAATGTGATGTCATGGTATATGTATTCTACCTGATGGATGAAGGGAATGTGATGCCATGGTGTAGGCATCTTACCTTACGAGTGAATGAATGTAATTCCGTGGTATATGCATTCTACCTTATGAGTGAAGGGAATGTAATTGAATGATAAAGGCATTCTACCTTATGAGTGAATTGAATATAATGTCGTGACATAGGCATTCTACCTGATGAGTGAAGGGAATGTAATGTCAATGGATAGACCTTCTACCTTATCAGTGAAGGGAATATAATGCCATTGTATAGGTATTCTACCTGATGAATAAATGTAATGTAATGCCATTGTATAGGCATTCTACCTGATGAGTGAAAGGAATGTGATGCCATGGTATGTGTATTCTACCTGATGAGTGAAGGGAATGTGATGCCATAGTGTAGGCATCCTACATTATGAGTGAAGGGAATGTAATTCCATGGTATAGCCATTCTACCTGACGAGTGAAGGGAATGTAATGCCATGGTATAACCATTCTACCTGATGAGTGAATGGAATGTAATGCCATGGTATAGCCATTCTACCTGATGAGTGAAGGGAATATAATGACATGGGAAAGGCATTCTACCTGATGAGTGAAGGGAATGTAATGCCATGGGATAGACCTTCTACCTTATCAGTGAAGGGAATTTAATGCCATGACATAGGCATTCTACCTGATGAGTGAAGGGAATATAATGCCATTGTATAGGCATTCTACCTTATGAGTGAAGGAAGTGTACTGCCATGGTATAGTCATTCTACCATATGAGTGAACGGAATATAATGCCATGGTATAGCCATTCTACCTGATGAGTGAAGGGAATATAATGCCATTGTATAGGCATTCTACCTGATGAGTGAAGAGAATGCAATGCCATGGGATAGGCATTCTACCTTTTGAGTGAAGGAAGTGTACTGCCATGGTATAGTCATTCTACCATATGAGTAAACGGAATGTAAGGCCATGGTATAACCATTCTACCTGATGAGTGAATGGAATGTAATGCCATGGTATAGCCATTCTACCTGATGAGTGAAGGGAATGTGATACCATGGTGTAGGCATCCTACCTTATGAGTGAAGGGAATGTAATGCAATGGTAAAGCCATTCTACCTGATGAGTGAAGGGAATGTAATGCAATGGGATATGCATTCTACCTGTTGACTGAAGGAAATTTAATGCCATCCACGTCTCCATATTCATCAGCCATTTGTCCAATCAGAATTTAGGCTAACAAGAACTTGTAACATGACGTCAACATTGATGATCCATATCAAATCTTTGTAGCATGCTATTTATTTATTTGTATTCCTGCAATTTCAGAAAATGCTGTTGCCTTTTGATTCGCTTTGATGGCAACGTTACTCAAGCAGACCGTATTTGGAAACGAAAATACCAACCACGACTGGCTAATCTTTGACACGTCCTAATCCAATCATCAATGACTCCATTTCAAAACTTATATCCATGCAGATGATTACTGTTATCACTGACTCCAGTTTCAATACATATAACCATAGAGATGATCACTGTTATCACTGACTCCAGTTTCAATACATATAACCATAGAGATGATTACTGTTATCACTGACTCCAGTTTCAATACATATAACCATCGAGATGAATACTGTTATCACTGACTCCAGTTTCAATACATATAACCATCGAGATGATTACTGTTATCACTGACTCCAGTTTCAATACATATAACCATAGAGATGATTACTGTTATCACTGACTCCAGTTTCAATACATATAACCATAGGGATGATTACTGTTATCACTGACTCCAGTTTCAAAAAATATATATTCATACAGCTGATGACTGTTATCACTGACTCCAATATCAATACATATTACCATAGAGATGATTACTGTTATCACTGACTCGAAATTTCCCAGACGTAAATTAAATACATCTTCTAAAGCAAATTGGATGCAAACCTGAATATTTTAAGATATAGATTTCAGTTCGATACCATCGAAACCGTAAACAGAAATTATGTGAATAACAGAATCAAATTTAAAACAAACAACAACCAAGCAAGAGAGTTTAGGAGTAAACAGGTACGTCTAGACATGCTCAGTCTGTCATGCAGAAACATATTACAATCAAAGATAACTTGTAAGTAGAGTCTTTGTATCGGTAATTTATGTAAATATTGGCGTGTTGTAATGATATTGCAATCATTAAACCAGTACATGATCTATTATTTGTGTATTATATTGATACTATTAGTTGTCTCGTTATGCACGAACACGTTCTAGTCGTATTTCTCAAAGGTGGTATTGTTCCATTGCCGATCTTATACAGGGTATGATAAATAAAGGTATACGTGCGTTTTAAGAAGATAAGAGCCTCGCAGAGTTTTCGCAACGTTTGAGAAAATGTAGTAGTCCACCTCGTTCTTCAAAAGAATAAGAGGTGCCATTCACTTTTTTCTATCTACATCTCAATTAAATTCTATTTGTAACTATCTGACAATTGAAATTTGCTAAAATAATGGATGAATATCAGATGCAATTATCAGATTTCCAATCATCATCATCATGATTATTTCTTCCCTACTTCTTGTCCTTTTATTTATTTATTTATTTATTATTATTATTATTATTATTATTATTATTATTATTATTATTATTATTATTATTATTATTATTATTATTATAGTTATACAGTGGTTTATTTATGAGGAGCTATGTTTATTTCATATATGAATTATAGTGAATTTATTGTTCAATGTGCTTACAACATTTTTTTGTATTTAACTATTTAATATTGTAAGCTCCATCTCTTCACTTTATTGTTTTGTACCTTTTATTGCTGGCAGATGCTCTTCATCGCCTGCAAATGAGCATATTTCCAATTTGTCAATGATAAGAACGATATATATATATATATATATATATATATATATATATATATATATATATATATATATATATATATATATATATATATATAAGAATTTTATATTTTTGCAAGAACTAAAATCTATATGTTCCGATTTCACGTCCTCTGAAAAGTGAGTGAGCTACTTTTCAATTTTATTGTTTGTTCTATTCTTCCTAAGTTTGTTCTCCATAATCCTGTAATAATTTTTTTCCATTGTATCTCAAGCTAATCAAATTGTTAAAAAATATTTCTAGGTATTTTTAGCACTTCTCTTTAGCATGTCTCCTGATCAATGAATGTAATATACGATAATGTAATGCTTACTTCCCGATGAACAATGGAAATATAAGGTCATTGTACAGTCATTCTGACTAATAGTTATAGTGTGTGTGTGTATGTGTGTGTGTGTGTAATTTAGATTTTTAACGTCTGCTTTTAATAATTTTCAGTCAAATCGCAACGATGTCTGCAGTGTGACAGTTTATAGTGATGTGTAGCACTGGGGCATCATGTCGCAGACATGTGGCATGATGTCCCACCCAGTCACAATATCCTGACACCAGGTCGACTAGTCCTAACACTAACCTCTTAATGATGAGCGCCTAGCGAGGAAGCTGATAGTACCGTTCTTAAGGTCTGTGATATAACTCAACCGGGGATCGAACCCATGACCACCCGCATCCGAGAGCGGACGCTCTAACATTAGGCCACCGAAGCGGTCAAAAGTGATAGTAATGTACGGTTATTGCATAATCGTTTAACAAAACTGAGTGCGGCATTAAACGTGATGTTTGACGGTAATGTACTGTACTCTACTGCAACGCATATTTCATGACGAATAAGGGTAACATAAAGTTACTGTATAAGTATTTTACCTGATAGTAAGGATAATAGTCTCATGGTATAAGGGTTCTACGTGATTATTCTATATGATTACGTAGTGACGGTAATGAAAACTACTGCAAGGCATTCTATCTTATAGGGATGATAAGTGAAATCGTTGTATAAGCATTCTACATGACCAATAGTGATACATTTATATGCCTTTAGCATGATGATTGAAGGTAATGTAAGGTCGTTATCCAGCTTACCTTGTAGTGATGGTAATATCAGGTACTGTAAGTCATTCTATCTGAGGACGGAGTGAATGCAAAATTCATGGTATAGGCATTCTACCTGATGAGTGAAGGGAATGTAATGCAATTGGATATGCATTCTACCTGATGAGTGAAGGGAATAAATTGTTATGGGATATGCATTCTACTTGATGAGTGAAGGAAATTTAATGCCCTACATGTCTCCATATTCATCAGCCATTTGTCCAATCAAAATCTAGGCTGACAAGTACTGGTAACATGATGTCAACATTGATGATCCATATCACATCTTTGCTATTTATTTTGTTGTATTCCAGCAATTTCAGAAAATGCTGTTGCCTTTTGATTCGTATTGATGGCAACGTTACTCGAGCAGGACGTATTTGGAAACGAAACTACCAACCATGACTGGCTAATCTGTGGCGTGTCCTACTACAATCATCAAGGATCCGTCATAGGAAAACGATTTTCCAAACAAATTTATCGGATACAATTGAATCTCTGTAATTCTTGTACAGTTGAATATCAATAATTTTTGTACAATTGAATATCTATAATTCTTGTACAATTGAATAGCTATAATTCGGGTACAGTTAAATCTATATAATTATTGAATGAATTAATCATGAGCCCAAGAATGTACGTTTGAATCTAGCCAGGGGTAATAGATAATGAGATGTGAAAATCCCTCAGTATCTGAGTACATTTAATGAATGAAAACAAATCTAATGTTAAAAACTGTTGCAAATCTGGACGCTCAGTTTAAATAAAGGAATCCAGCGTTAACCAATGTTTGACTCTTTGCATATTAACAGCATTTTCAAACTTAACGACTAATTTGTAACTGTTATTACAAACTCCAGTTTCAATACATATAACCATAGAGATGATTACTGTTATCACTGACTCCAGTTTCAATTGATATAACCGTAGTGATGATCACTGTTATCACTGACTCCAGTTTCAATACATATAACCATAGAGATGATTACTGTTATCACTGGCTCCAGTTTCAATTGATATAACCGTAGTGATGATCACTGTTATCACTGACACCAGTTCAAAAAACTATATCCATGCAGATGATGACTGTTATCACTGACTCCAATTTCAATACATATAACCATAGAGATGATTACTGTTATCACTGACTCCAGTTTCTATATATATATATATATATATATATATATATATATATATATATATATATATATATATATATATATATATTTATATAACCATAGAGATGATCACTGTTATCACTAACTCCAGTTTCAATACATATAACCATAGAGATGATTACTGTTATCACTGACTCCAGTTTCAATACATATAACCATAGGGATGATTACTGTTATCACTGACTCCAGTTTCTAAATATATATATATATATATATATATATATATATATATATATATATATATATATATATATATATCTATATATATATATATATATATATATATATAACCATAGAGATGATCACTGTTATCACTAACTCCAGTTTCAATACATATAACCATCGAGATGATTACTGTTATCACTGACTCCAGTTTCAATACATATAACCATAGAGATGATCACTGTTATCACTGGCTCCAGTTTCAATTGATATAACCATAGTGATGATCACTGTTATCACTGACACCAGTTTCAATACATATAACCATAGGGATGATTACTGTTATCACTGACTCCAGTTTCAATACATATAACCATAGGGATGATTACTGTTATCACTAACTCCAGTTTCAATACATATAACCATCGAGATGAATACTGTTATCACTGACTCCAGTTTCAATACATATAACCATAGAGATGATCACTGTTATCACTGGCTCCAGTTTCAATTGATATAACCATAGTGATGATCACTGTTATCACTGACACCAGTTTCAATACATATAACCATAGGGATGATTACTGTTATCACTGACTCCAGTTTCAATACATATAACCATAGAGATGATTACTGTTATCACTGACTCCAGTTTCAATACATATAACCATAGGGATGATTACTGTTATCACTGACTCCAGTTTCAAAAAATATATATTCATACAGCTGATGACTGTTATCACTGACTCCAATATCAATACATATAACCATAGAGATGATTACTGTTATCACTGACTCCAGTTTCAATACATATAACCATAGAGATGATTACTGTTATCACTGACTCCAGTTTCAATACATATAACCATAGAGATGATTACTGTTATCACTGACTCCAGTTTCAATACATATAACAATAGGGATGATTACTGTTATCACTGACTCCAGTTTCAATACATATAACCATAGAGATGATTACTGTTATCACTGACTCCAGTTTCAATACATATAACCATAGGGATGATTACTGTTATCACTGACTCCAGTTTAAAAAAATATATATTCATACAGCTGATGACTGTTATCACTGACTCCAATATCAATACATATAACCATAGGGATGATTACTGTTATCACTAACTCCAATTTCAATACATATAACCATCGAGATGAATACTGTTATCACTGACTCCAGTTTCAATACATATAACCATAGAGATGATCACTGTTATCACTAACTCCAGTTTCAATACATATAACCATAGAGATGATTACTGTTATCACTGACTCGAAATTGCCCAGACGTAAACAAAATACATCTTCTAAAGCAAATTGGATGCAAAACATGAATATTTTATGATATAGATTTCAGTTAGATACCATGGAAACCGTAAACAGAAATCATGTGAAAAACAGAATCAAATTTAAAAGAAAAAACAACCAAGCAAGAGAGTTTAGGAGTAAACAGGTACGTCTAGACATGCTCAGTCGGTCATGCAGAAACATATTACAATCAAAGATAACTTATAATTAAAGTCTTTAGATCTGTAATGTATGCATTATTAGCGTGTTTTAATGATACCAGTTCAAAATTATTAGATTAGATTAGTACCTGATGTATTACTGGTGCATTGTATTGATACTATTAGCTGTCTCGTTATGCACGAACACGTTCTAGTCGTATTTCTCAAAGGTGGTATTGTTCCAATGCAGATCTTATACAGGGCATGATAAATAAAAGTATACGTGCGTTTTAAGAAGATAAGAGCCTCACGATATTTTCGCAACTTTTGAGAAAACTTACTAGACCAATTCTTTTTTGTAAGGAATAAGAGATACCATTCATTTTATCTATCTATATTTCAATTAAATCCTATACCTTATGAGTGAAGGAAGTATAATGACATGTTATAGACATTCTACCTGATGAGTGGATGAATGTAATGCCTTGGGATATACATTCTACCTGATGAGTGAAGGGAATTTATTGCCATCCACGTCTCCATATTCATCAGCCATTTGTCCAATCAGAATCTAGGCTGACAAGTACTGGTAACATGACGTCAACATTGATGATCCATTTCACATCTTTGTAGCATTAAATCTATATAATTCTTGAATAAATTAATCATGAGCCCGAGAATGTACGTTTGAATCTAGCCAGGGGTAATAGATAATGAGATGTGAAAATCCCTCAGTATCCGAGTATATCTAATGAATAAAAACAAATCTAATGTTAAAAACTGTTGCAAATCTGGACGCTTAGTTTAAATAATGGAATCCAGCGTTAACCAATGTTTGACCCTTTGAATATTAACAGCATTATCAAAATTAAATACTAATTTGTAACTGTTATCACTGACTCCAGTTTCAATACATATTACCATAGAGATGATTACTGTTATCACTGACTCCAGTTTAAAAAAATATATCCATACAGCTGATGACTGTTATCACTAACTCTAGTTTCAAAACTTTTAACCTTGCAGATGATAACACTTCATCTACGCATGCTGATATTCTATTCTGATATCATGTTTTAAATGGGACCATTTTATCTAATGATTGCCAACAATTTGATGCAGGGAAACCCAGACAGATTCTACAATTTGTACATTTAAAAAATAGAAATAATAAAAGATATAAAAGAAGCCAAAGCACCGGGACCAAGGAGTCCACAAGAGGCTCTCCTTCACCAGGAGATACACACCTTTATAGAACTATAATAACACACCTTCCTGGTCATATAAATTTTTATGTATAGTTTTTGGAAGATATACTTTAAAATCGACGTTACAATTTCTAATATTTATTTCCTAACAATTGACTCTCGAATTGCAAAATAAATGGATTACAAGACTTTGTTTAACGTTCTAATAAATAGTTTTCTCAATATTTAACATAAGATTTTGTATATAGTGTCTCTATCATGAGGTGATTTCGTCCAAGAAATTACATGGTATTTTTAAGGCAGTTAGATATATTTCTATTTCTAGCAAGCATCATGTGATTTAGCTTAAGAGCACGGGTCCTAGAAAAGCCAGGTGAATCAAATTCCTAATTGGATAGCGACTAGAACACTTGACCTAGAAGACAGTGATTTCAAATTATTTTAGTTGAACCTCATTCTGATTTTCGCATTGCATCATATATTGTGCATAAAAGATGTTATTGCTAGAAATTAATTATTCCTATTATTTTCATCAGTCTTAGAACAGACAAATGTTTGTGATAATTTGATAGTGTTTTACCTTTTTTTAGTAATTCAATGGAATTA